ATGTACATGACTATACACACACACACACATACACACACACATACACACTCGCGCGCGCGTTCGCACACATGCACACACATATTATCCAGATTAGCAAACTCATAGAATACACTTTCCCTGTTTCACCCCAAAACATACACTTGCTTTTTTTCCTTTTTTTTTTCTTTCTTTTTTTAGATTTGCCAATATATGACCATCTCTAACTTCAGAATGAGACCGCGTCTCTGTTTTCATTACCCCCACCTCATCATACCACGTCATGTCCCATGGCTCCGTCGGAATATTAATGTGCAGACACTTTGTTTTGTTTTTTTCTCACTTTCCGAAGATGAGTCATGTAGGCTACATGTAATTAGTGTCACAATCTAAGGTAACAAACGAAATACATGTACATGTATATATATTATATGTATCCTGTCTTTTGTCAAATCATACTAGATCTAGATTTAGCTTGAAAAAAGTGAGAATCTGTTTGGCCATCTCTTGATATAGAATGGTTCGAGTTGGTGTGTTCATGTAGGCCTATTAAGCACTCTCTGTTTCCGAGGGCAACTCGTGACGTTTGTGATTCAAGATTGTAGACGAAATGAGGTGAAATTCAGTAATGACATGTTTTGTGGTCCTGTCTGTTCTTGTACTTCCGTCAATAAGCAATTAATTGACTGATTCATACAAGTCAAACTGATAGTAGGCTATAATTCAAAGCTCTGTCCCGTATTCAATCCAGTGGAACGCTTAGTATTAAATTTCCACTTGAGCTCCGTGTCTTATCGTATGTTCAATAGGGGCCTATAATGTAATGTAATTCACTTTATACTTACATGGTATAGCAAGCACTTGGGCACCCAAACTATATCAACCACTCGTTTATTCATTAAAGTTCAAGTTGAAGAACAGTTGTTTTTTTTAAATTGAATAGCTGTAGCTTAGACGTAACATCTGCGTCCACTAGCATACAAAAGTGTCTACAACGTACGAACGAATAATACAACTGATCAGTGTTTTCAAACATAACAATAACACGGCATGTTGTATTCGTGCATGCCAAAAATCATCCTATGAGTATGAGCCATGAGGAAGATACAATTAAACCAATTAAACAGAACGCATGACTTGGGGTGGACATCATTACTATTGCGTCTACTGTCTGTGTGCTGTAATGACCAGGCGTGTAGCTCAGAGTAAACAGTTTAGTTTTTTAGTTTTAGTAGAGGTTTTACGGCACTCGCAACTACATAAGGTCATATGAGCGCTAGAAGATTAGAGGTGTTACAAGAGAGTAACAAACATAAAAAAGAAGGGGAGATAAGGACGATAGATGTTTGATAGGAAAGAAGGAGCAAACCACACCAGAGCATCCGCCAACCACCCACAGTAAACAGTTTTCAAATGATATTTTTCGTGAATGCTGTGGAGGGAAGGTTTGCCTACCCGCATTGAACATTGAGTGCAGGATTTGAAACCGTCAATTAAACCGTCCAAGTTGAAAGGCGGCTCCAGAACAAGGCTGCATGGTTAACTCTTTACAGACGTAGTGGACATAACTGTCAAGTCATCGATATTACAAAGGCAATAATGCGACTCGTTTCGAACCGTCAAATATTAATCAGAAACAAGAATTTTCATACAGCCAAACCTCGTTATTCCGCCATCCTTGGGACCAACATGAATGAAGTTGGCGAAATAGCGGGACCAGTGGTTCAACGGGGTTCCTCTGTTATATATCATAGTCTCGACTACCCATTGTCAAGGAACATGATTCTGTTGTGTGATCTGTGTTTGAAAAGTGTCTTTTTGTTGGCAATATAAATTTACATGTACATGCACATGTATTCAGAGCCGAGTCTTCTCTCTGTTTCTCTTATCTACGTGCATGTGTATATTGTTCTTGGGGGAGAAAGATTATCAAGTAACCAGCTAATGGGTTTTGTGCGCTGTGTGTAATGTTTACCTCTGACGGTCAGTTCACTGGCGGTATGACGAGGCAAATTTACATTAGTTAAATAAGGGCCATTTAACTCTGACAGTTGGTGGGTGGCGGTGTGAAAGCGTAAACACTGTGTTTAAATAGGCGCTCCTTTTCAAACATCGGCAAAATCTTACGGTAAAATACAGGGCTGGCAGTATAACGTGGTGGTGGTGGTTGGGGGGGGGGGGTATTAATGAGGTTTCATTGTATTTCATAGTATGCATGTTTTTTTCCTAACAAACAGTTAAGGTAATAGACTTTTTTTAAAATCTTTAGGAATATGCTTCTTTCTAGTTATTCTTTTTTTTGAAGTGGCACAAAATAGCGCGTCTTCAAACTTTGTCGAATGACCAGAATATGCATCATCAGTTAATTAACTTCATCAACGAAGCGACCCAGATAGGATCACCTGTGCTTTATTGGTTCCACAGGAGAGTCTGCATACAGTAAATGACAGCAGTGATCTCTTTTAATTGTATCTTAATACTGCTCCAATTACCTATTCAACGTGGTTATAATTTCAGCGTCACATCGCAGCCTGGAAGAACTAGTCATAAAAAACCCCATAAGAACAAAAACAGCGAGCTGCAGGTGTGAGATATTCAGGCGAAGTGTGTTCCTCGTTACGGGCCAGTTCTTTGGAACAGGGAACCAGCATCTTTACGCAAGGATCGACGGAAACTTTGTTAAAGTTCAAAACAGGACCATTAGGAATTCCACTATTATTGTTTTAGCATGCACTGTGTGTTTGTGTATGTGTATGTGTGTTTGTGTGTGTGTGCGCGCGCGTGTGTGTGTGTGTGTGTGTGTGTGTGCGTGTGTGTGTGTGTGTTCGGCTCTATACAGAAACCAGCTGTACCGAGTAGTGTGATGTGTCTTTATACATGTAATTTGAATAGTCGTGCGTTTCTAACACATTTAAAAAAAATTAGAAATGAGTTAACACAATGGCATAGTACTTTAAAATATTCTAGGTCTTTGAGTCTCCCTCTTTAGGTAGCAGCGTCTGGCAAGTGTGAACATCCTGGGTAAAAATGTATTAGAGAGAACATATGATTCAAAGTTGTTGATCAGGGCCATCATATTATTTCAAAATAAAAAAACTCAGAATGTGACTATGAAGTGGATCTAAAATATATTTTTATTTTTCAACACCATAACACATAAAAGCATAATTAGAGGAATTACATCTACATGTGTATTTGTAGCTCTTAATCAGGAAATAAAGCTCCTCAAATGTAAAAAGACGTGGAGAATTTATTAGGCCATTTAGTCATGAACGGAATGGCAATATCAACAATCAACTCTTCTGTTAACATCAAATGTAAGTATAATTTTTTTAATGATAAATAAGCAGCTTCATAACTCCTGCTTTTTAGATAGTGAAGGTCCTTTAGCTTTCTTCTCCTTTTTCTTGTCTTGGGTTTTAGCTTTAGACGGCTTCGATTCAGGCGTACCTTTTTTCTGCAAAATGAAAGGTGGCAAGGCAAGTATATAAGTTGAAGTATGAAAAGAGGGGAAATAAAACTACACAACACTCAATCCCCCCTCCACGAGAATAAAAATCCCCCCCCCCTCTTTGTCTAAGACGCAACTCAGTCAGGACAAATTTAATTTGATGAAACTGACACTGACAGAAATGGTGCTTTCCATTCATTAATCGTCACAGAGATCATAAACGCCTCCTTGGCTGCCTGTTGCTCTTTTTAAGCTTATCGAGTGTGAGCGGTGAGAGTACAGCCTTTTCTGAGGGAATGCATCGTCTGTCTGTCTGTCTGTCTGTCTGTTTGCTATTCATTCTCTCTCTCTCTCTCTCTCTCTCTCTCT